CAATTATTTACCGATATGATGCACGAGAACAAACGGAGTATGGAATAATGAGGCAAAGAATAGAGAATGATGAAAAGGCAGTAGATTGATGCATATGAACATCTAAATGGATGGGTTAACGTCGGACGATAGATTCAGGCAGATTCTGCCTTTCCCGTTCCGCGTTCTGCAGTCTCTCAGCCATCTGGGGCAGATTTTGCTTCAGACCTCGCATAGATGCATTCATATGAGGATAATGTGCAGTGAGAACTGAAAGTGCATTTTGAAGGAGGCTGGCGTAAGTGATGAACAGATTAGAATAATATAATATATTTTACTACCTGATCTACCACGACTTTTACGATATTCATGCAGGCTAGCTGTCCTCCTCTGCCGACAATTTTTAGAACCGATCTAAACTTGCGCAGGCCCTCTGTGCAAATGGAGAAGAGTACGTGATTAGAGGAAGTTTTTAGAAAATTTTCCTAATTTCTTTAGGGTTTTATAATGAAGTTACAAGTTTCAAAAAATAGCTGCATCGTCGCACTTAAATGACTAGTTTTTCGGCGTTAAGAACCGTGTCTGCCTTTCGGTTCTACAGCTAAATAGAGAGAGCGAGGCAGTACGATATTGTATTACTGGAAGCTTATTATATCGCTGCTGAAACTCAATTCATAACTAATTTTTTAACCTATTCATGAAAGTGGAGTACTCTTGTCATGCGCCGGTAGTGACAGTTAAAATAGGTACAAAAACGGTTCATTATCACATGACGCCATGCAATGGCATATCGGATGGTACTACATACGTTGTTTACTTCTGACTTACACTATCAAGAACTTCAAGAAAGCCTCAAATGGCGCATAGCTCCTCATGAATAACTAGAGATCAGATTTCGTTTCGTATTGCATTACCCCGTTGCTCCTGCCTCATTTAAGCTGGCTGCGCCTCCCATGGCACTTGAGCGCCCGCAGTGGCAAATGCATCTCGCATCATTTGGTTCGCGAAGATCACCTTACGCTCATTACCAGCGACGTGTCGGGAGCTGGTACGCTTTATATGCTACCGTGTAAAGATCAGAGTATGTTCGTACTCAAGAGTTTGTCAATTAACCCAAGTTTCACAACGTATTACACCACCTCTTCGCTCCTACAAGAAAGCCTGTGGAATATTCTCGAAAAGTTGTCACTGGTCTATCACCTGACGGGCCACGTTCGTTGAGTCATGTGATAATAAGCACATTTTTGGAATATTTCTCAAAGCCTATCATTTGACTCGCTGTATGACAGCAGGCCATTCCGTTCATCTGCTTCAGGAGCATTTCTGTCGTCGACCTGCAATACGGTTTGAAATCTATTTACAAAAGTGAGGTGCGAAAAAGTTGACATTTGAGTGTGTGTTAAGAAACCTCAGGATTGAAACTTAAAGACAATTACCGATAATTAGTGCGTGAGAACCTCGAAATTCTTCAGAAAAGAATTCTCTTCCAATTTCCGATTACGCAACGAAAACCTGTTTTACTTAACAAGGCAGATGCTGAAGCATCCACGATACCCTCGCTCATCATTTGAACAAAGGTATGTGGCTGGTTTCAATCAATGCGACATAAATTTACTGGACATCTGGTTTTAGCGAATCTTACTCACGATTCAAAATGGCCCTCTGTCCACGGGGTAGACCACGTGATGCTTCTTAATACGGCTCTGTGATTCAATTGTCCTTTTCCGAGACAGACTTACTTTAAAGACATGAAGAAACCTGTTCAAATCTCTATTCATTGTTACCGTTGCTTGGAGCGATGGTTAACGTTTTCGA